GTGCACACACACAAACGCACGTGCACACACACAAACACACGTGCACACACACAAACAGAAATGCATGTAGAAACAAGCCAGTGCAGGCACAGAAACGCACAGACACAAACATTTGCAGGTGCACATACCCATACACACATACAAACTGTTGTTGCTTCCACCATTGTGCATACCGATGGTAGTATTGACAAGGGGAATGTCATGGCTCACTATTCTGTTGAGTGCAGCATTGGGATCCACAGACCAGCAAGGGCCCCAAGTTCGAAGTCTGTTCTTTCGGAGGGTTGAGTGAGTAAAATAGGCCCAAACAGCTTAGTGCTTCACTGATGCAATGCTTTCCAACATCCGTTGAACCATCTCGCCCTGAAGAACACATTCCCTTCACTCAGTCACACCGGAGCAGGCCTTTCAGCCCATCAACCCTACCAAGCCATTTAATCATGGGTGATAAAACCCTTCAGTGCCTTTTATCCACATTATCCCTGAAACGGTTTACACCACTGGTGACTAGAAATCTGTCAACCCACTGCTTTAAACATCGTCACAGATTGAGTTTCCTGTGGAGCCCTGTGGGGTAGAGAGTCCCAAAGATTCATCACCCTCTCAGTAAATAATTTTCTCTTTGTCTTGCTCTGATGTAGCATTCCCTTTGTTATTAAATTGTGGCCCTTGTTGCTAGACTCCTCAGTCAGGGGAAACCCCTTACCCGCATCTGTCTGTCTGGCTATCCCTTTAAGTATTTCCCAGGTTTCAATGTGACCACCTCTCATTTTCCAAAACTTTACACAACAAGGCACAGATTATTCAGTCTGTCTTCGTTGAATGGATCTGTTATCATGAGAACAAGTCTGGTGAACTTGTGTTGCTCTCCCGCTTTGGCATTAATACCTTTTCTGAGATAAGGGGATCCAAACTGGACACAGTGTTCCAGGTGTAGTCTATCCAAGCCTTTATACAGCTGAAGAGAAACTTCCCTGCTCCTGCACTCAAATCCTCTCAGCAATAAAGACGAACATTCCATCAGCTTTCCTGATAGCTAACTATCTGCTAGCCTTCAGCGAGTGGTCAACAATGACACCTAGGTCCCTTTTCACATCTACGCTTTCCAACCTTTTACCATTTAAGAAATATTCTGTATATCCTACCAAAGTGGATGACCTTACACTTTTCCACATTGTATTCCATCTGCCATGTTCTTGCCCACTCACTAAGCCTGTCCAAATCCTCTCCCTTTTCAGGGAATTCTCCTCGAGTCTGTTTTTCCCCGGATTCCCATTTATCCCCACGTCTTGGGTGAAATTGGACATGGGCGGGGATTCAGTGCTCATGAACTCCGATCACAAACGTACTTAGTATTGTGCCCCAGCCTGTGCCCAGTTTAACACTCACTGTCTCTTCATGGCCACCATTTTTTGAGCGACAGCCCTTGCTCCATCTCTCTTTGCCTCTTCCATTGTGTCACCAGTCTATATGTGGGAGCCAGAACTGCTGGGAATGGATGTAGCTGGCATGGTGCTGGGACCGGAAGGATCACAAACACTCCCTGGAAAACCATTGGAGGGAGGAGCCTTAATTGGTATAACGATTCTCTAGCTCAGGGGGCATCGAGGCCAATTATAGACTGTATTAAGGAAAGGTTAACCCTACTCTGTTCAGCTCCACGCCAGAGGGATAAATTCAAACATCAGATTTGCCTTTATGTTATTGAACGGTGAAGCAAACTTGAATGGCCTACTCCTGCTCCTCATTGAGCCATTTCCAGGCCTCACTGAATATTTCCAGTTACAGGCATAAACTTCAGGGATGTGTGCCAGGGCCTGTGAAGTGAATCCAGACCATTCCAGTTGTTTGAAACCTATGCAATACTTTCCTGTTTCCCTCTTTTTCTCTCTCACTCTCTCTCTTTCTCTCTCTCTCTCTCACTTTCTCTCTTTCTCTCTTTCTCTTCCTCTCTCTCACTCTCTCTCTCTGTTTCTTTTTCTCTCTCTCTCTCTGTCCAACCTGTCAGTGACTAGGCTACAGTTGAAGTGCACGTTTAGCATTTGTGAAAGGGTGTTGCGGCTTTCGGTCATCTTGGGGGAGGATTAGGGGCTGGGGGAGGGGAGGGGGGTGCAGGGGGAAGAGCCTTTGGGTCATGATTCCAATCGGACAACCTGCAAACCATAGCCCAAATGTCCTGAACGTGTGGAAAAGAAATGTGACATTCGCTGCCGATTGCCAAGGAGTCTGGCAAAAATTGGAAGGAGAAATACGACACAGCTACAAATTCTACAGCTACCTCCCCCCTTTTAAGAGCTTTATTCAACTGCACTAGTCTTAAGTTTTTTCTTTCGGTTGCTTTTCTTTTATGCAGTTTTCATTTTTCCTTTCTCATCCAGGTAATGTTTGTGATAATGAAGCTCATTCAAGTGATGCATTTACTAAGCATTAACGCTGGTTCAAATGATTAAAACCAAATTTGAACTCAAATTTCCCTCAAATCTTTGAGATTCTGAAAATATTTCTTTGCTGAGCCATTGAAATCTTCTCATCATTAACAATTTTCTCTTCTCTTTCCCTCAGACCTCCATTTCATTTTTAAAATACGACGCAAATGTTTCTTGTCCATTTAACTTTCCAAGTTTGCCACAGTTTTAAATTATTAGCTGAAGACAGCATAAGCCATGATGGCTTGAATGAGCTGCAAGAAGTAAATGTGTTGTATTTGCTGTAAGTGGTCTGTACTGTAAGCAAATGCCATCCATTATACTAGAGTAATAATCAGGTTCATTTATATTCTCCCTTTCTTTATTGAACCTCCCTCTTGCCACTCCTCTGCTTGGCTTCTTTACATCTGCTATGGTTACTCTGTGAAGGATGAAATCATGGTGAGTATATTGTTGCTGTGGAAACGCAGGTTAAGTGTCGGAGCTACATCTGGGTGGGTTCAAATTTGGTTCGAATCCCACCAAATAAACTCAATTAATGAATCTGCAACATAAAACTAGTCTCTGTAACAGTTACTGTAACACCTGTCATCCACTGTTGTAAAACCCAACGTGATTTGCTGATGCCCTTTAGGGACGGAAATCTACCTTCCTGAACTCTGAAGAAGGGTCATATTTGATGCGAAACATTAACACTGTTTGTCTGCCCACTGATGCTGCCTGACCTTCTGAGTTTCCCCAGCATTTTCTATGTTTATTTCATGTTTCCAGCACCGGCAGTATTTCACTTTTAATCAGCAGCCCTCACTTGGTCCATGTACATGTGACTCCAGACCCACAGTGATGTGTTTGACTGTTAACCACCCTCCAAAATGGCCCAGCAAACCCCTCAGTTCAAGGGCAATTAGGGATGGTCACCAAATGCCAGCTTTGGCAGTGATGTCCACATCCCATGAAAGAATAAAGAGCACAAAGAAAGGTCATCCAGAACAAGAGAGCATGACCTTACCCATTAGAGTTAGGCCACCTAGGAGTGAAATTAAAAATCATTTTTACTCCTTCAGGGAGTGAAATGCTGGAATTCCCTCAATAAACTCTGGATGTTTGGTCTTTTCAAGTTTGGAAATTCTCAAGATGACCACATTTTTTTAGACAGAATATGGAAAACAGATGGATGGAATTGTGGTCCAGATCAACTGTGATCTAATTATGTGGTGGAACAGGCTTAAAGGGGCTGAATGGTCTCCTGACCCTGAGTTCTTGGTAAAGGTTAGGATAAAGAAGATAGTCCCCTTAACACTCTCTCATGACATTACTGAGCTGCTGCTTGAACACTGCCCAAGAGAGAGACATATTGTCGAAGATTTTTTTGTCTTGTCCTCGTCAGGACAAAAGCAAGAATGTCAAATGTCAAACAAATCACAACAATGTAGACCACAAGAGGAAATGGCACTGATTGGTTGGCAAGTCAAATCTGATTGACCAAAGTGTTGTCATGGCTAAAGCTCCCCATGCTCCCAGGTAATTTTAAAAAAGATGGTGAGAGACTGGAAGCTATTGGTTTTGTTTGCAGAGATCAGGTCCCTGGTGTGCGAATATGTGTCACGACTAGCCAGCATAAATGAGCCACATTGTGAGTTTGACTGATTGTATTAAATTGATTCTTAACATGGTTGTTAGTGCACTTTCCCCTCACTATCTCCATGACAACACTTTGGTCAATCAGATTTGACTTGGCAACCAATCGGCACCGTTTTCTCCTGTGCAATAAACTGTAGTGATTGTCTGAAATTGGCCACTCTTGTATCTGTCCTGCTGAATGCAAAGGGGAGAGTGCCAGCAATACTGCCCTTTCTTCAGAAATGTTCGCTTTCCAAGCCGCTGTGTATTTCTGAAACACTCGATGGAGGGTTAAATTCTCTGGAAAGTGAGCCCGCAGTCACAGATGAAGATATTGTCTTTGTCCATTGCTGCTTATGTGAGCTAATTAGCTGTGACTTTGTCAGTGATGGTGCTCTGTATTGAGCGAGAAACGTCTAAGGCAGAGATATGTCTCTTCCTTCCACTGTCTCCCTGACAGGAGGCTGAGCTGACTCAGTTTGTATCACCAGTATATTCTGAGGAAATAATGAAAAGGATGGACTGCCCTTCTCCCTGAACTGTTTGGTAATGCTGGCAAACAACTGGCAACCAATGCATATTTTAATCAAACTGCAGGGTTTTGCTTTAACTGAGTGCTGTGATCCTATCTTCGCTGCAGCATTGTTTCAGTTCCTGGTGGAACCCAGATGTACATCTGCTTGACCATGCGTTTTGTGTGTTTAGTTATGTAGCTTGAGCTCATAGTCAATGGCTCTAGGTCCCTCTGTACAGTTGCATGTTGCTGTTTACTTTTTTTCGTTTTTCTATCTTCCCTTTGTTTTAGCTTTAGCCTTTTTTCACCAATTTGACTGTTGACTCCCCCTCCCAGCTCCCCTCACTGCCCCTCCTTGATGCCTTGTGCTTCCATGAAGAGTGGGTTTGTGCTTTTTGTGTAGGTTTTGATACTGAGCCGAAGTTTAGATGTGATGTATACCTACAGTCGATGAAATTCTGTGTGGATTGGGGGCTGGTTGTGGAATCTTGGGGTGGCTGGGTTAATTTGTTTATTAGGGTGGCTGGATTAACTTGTTTGGTGGGGTGGCTGGGTTAATTTGTTATTGAAGATGGAAATCTCTGCAGTTTCCAATCAAAACTCTCATTGACTCCCACTGGAAAAGACAAAAACCAATTGGGAAACTTGGGGTGGGGGTGGAAACAGACCTCCTCCTTTTCACTGATGGGTTGCCATCATGTGACCTGGCAGGAAGACTTGTTTCGGTTTCTTTCTGAGTCCTATTCCTGTAAAGCACAGCCTTTTACATTTCCTGGTGGCGTGGGCCTATTTCCTATGGGGAAAACTAATAATTGATTCTTTGCCTAACACAGCTTCATTAAATGTTTGCCCATTATCTTTGCCCACACTGGAGGCCCATCTCTCACCAGAGCAGAAAGATAAATGGGACAGAGACCCTGGGAAGTGGGATGGTGTTCTGATCAAAGTGCCTCCCAACCCTGTTTGACTTGTGCTACAGTTTCCAACAATCCACAGAGAAGAATTTGAGTGAGGGTTTTAACCTCAGGAAATGGGAGGGATGATGGTTATAGAGACTGATCGAGTTCCACTCTCTCAAATTTGATCTTGGCATCAAAAACCTTCAAGTTGACTCTAACCTTTTTAATCGACTACCCGTTTTTCTGTATCTGTATAGAGACCACCGTGTTTTCCTTTCTGCGTTTAACTCTCCCGTTAACACGCATTGATTGACACTAGACCGTGTATGAAGCCAGGTCCTGTGTTATACGCCCAAGTTTCTGGGCTGACCTACTATCCTTTCTGAATGTTCATTCTACCCGCCTTCTTGTTTCAGGTGATCAGGAAGGGCTGGCTGACCATCAACAACATCGGCATCATGAAGGGAGGATCCAAGGAATACTGGTTTGTGTTGACAGCAGAGAACCTGTCCTGGTACAAGGATGATGAGGTCAGTTCACCTGTTCCTTTCCTCCTTTGAAACATGCTGGTTAAAGTTGTTCTCATGTTAAAGTGATGGACCCCTGGGACAGAGCAGGATAGGACAAAGATAAGCCCTGCCTCCCCCAGCCAGTGTAAGGCCCACCCAAGGCTGGGAGTTCTGCCCAGGGAGTCATGGTTAGCACCAAAGGCCAGAGGGTTTTCCAGCTCTTTAGATAACAGGGAGCACAGGCTGAAGTATGACAAACAGAGAAAGATTGTGGTGAGATGTAGTGAGTCTCTGTTGTCTCCTGCTCCTGGTCAAGCAACATCCTGATTCTAAAACCCTTCTTGTTCAGATTGCTCCACGATCTCACCCTTTCCTATAATCTTCTCCAAAACACCATAAACTTCCAAAGGATCTGGACTGCTCTAATCCTGACCTCTCGTGCACTCCTTGTTTAGAATCTGTACGGTGTGGAAACAGGCCATTTAGCCCAAGTCCACACCAACTCTCTGAAGAGTATCCCACCCAGACTCTCACCCCTACTCTATCTCTTTTACCCTGCATTTCCCATGGCTAACCCACAAAGCCTGCACATCCCTGGACAGTAAGGGGCAATTTAGCATGGCCAATCCACCTAACCTGCACATCTTTGGACTGTGGGAGGAAACCCATGCAGACACAGGGAGGATGCGCAAACTCCACACACACAGTCACCCAAGGCTGGAATTGAACCTGGGTCCCTGGTGCTGTGAGGCAGCAGTGCTAACCACTGAGCCACCCACCCCCCACTATTCTGGACCTTAGCGTTGTTTTAGGAATAAAGTGGTAGCTTTATTAATCAACTGTTGGAAAGTCTGATCCATTTACTCGTATTTCCTGTTGTGTAAACAGAATTCACAAATTCAGTGTTGTAAAGTATTTCTTTGACCAAAGGTATGGCTCAGAATTTGCTTTTTTTTCTCTATTTACGTGTATGACAATCAGATTTTGACAATGATCAATATTTTGGCCCCAGCATTTAATGGCCTTGTTTGTATATTTGGATAATGTATCACAGTGAGCTGGAGTGCAATATGTTTTACTGGTAACTTACCCATTTGTTTAATGGTTCTTAGAAAAGTTGTTTACAATACAGCCTGTGAGACCATTGTAAATCCAGTGGGTTGTCGTGTAGATTAGATATAAGCAGTAGTTTGATTGATTATAACCTTGTTGTCTGAGGTCTCTGTGCTTGCTGTGAGGACCCTGACTGACCTTTGACTGTCTGAACTTAACTTCATTCACTCATCGCTTCATTTAAACCACCAGTGGGCACCAGTGTTACTATCTCAGCGTCCCCTTATTGTTCGACAACACCGTTGTGGAGTGCCTTGGATTGCTAAAGGAGCTACATAAATTTAAGTTGATCACAGCATCTAAAATCTCCTGCTTGGGAGGGAGGTGGAGGCAGAGTTAACTGAGGCCTTTGATACGGAGTTGAATCCTTATCCGAGGAGGAAGCAATTGCAGGAAACGTTTGGCAGAGTAGGACAAGATGGATTGCAGAGACCTGTCACAGACACAATGGGTCGAATGGCCTTTATCTGTGCTGTAACCATTCAGCACAGTGCAGTCCAGAAGTGACCTGTTCTGCAAGGTGCCTTGTAGCAGTTAGCAGCTTCCTGGTGGAATCCACATTTCTGAGGTGGCTCTGTTAAGAGTAAAAAGCTACACATTATCCTGATTTGTGGAGTGTCTTCATAGAACAACTTGGGAGTGGCACGGTGGCTCAGAGGTTAGCTCTGCTGCCTCACAGTGCCAGGAACCTGGGTTTGGTTCCACCCTCAGGCGACTGACTGTGTGGAGTTTGCACATTCTCCCCGTGTCTGCGTGGGTTTCCTCCGGGTGCTCCGGTTTCTTCCCACAGTCCAAAGATGTGCAGGCTAGGTGGATTAGCTGTGGGAAATGTGGGGTTACGGGATCAGGCTGGGTCGCTTTGGACTCAAAAGATACAAAAGAGAAGTACAGCACAGGAACAAGCCCTTCGGCCCTCCAAGCCTGTGCCAATCATCATGCCCTGACTAAACTAAAAAAACAAACCTTCTGCCCTTATTCGGTCTGTATCCCTCTATTCCCTCCCTATTCATGGAACCATCCAGGTGCCTCTTAAATGTCACCAACGTGCCTGCTTCCACGAACTCCTCTGGCAGTGCATTCCAGGTTCCTACCACTCTCTACGTGAAAAACCTCCCTTGCACATCTCCCTTCAACTTTCCCCTTCTCACCTTGAACCTGTGCCCCCTTGTAATCGAAACTTAAACCCTGGGAAAAAGCCTCTGACTATCCACCCTATCTATGCCTCTCTTAATGTTCTCGACCTCTATCAGGTCTCCTCTCAGCCACCGCCTTTCCAGTGAAAACAACCCTAGTCTTTTTAACCTTTCCTCATAGCCTGTGCCCTCGAGACTGGGCAACATCCTGGTGAACCTTCTCTGCACTTTCTCCAGAGCTTTCACATCCTTCTGGTAATGTGGTGACCAAAACTGCACACAATACTCCAAATGCAGCCTAATGAGGGTTTTATATAGCTGCAACATGTTTTGCCAACTCTTATACTCCATGCCCCGGCCGACGAAGGCAAGCATGCCATGTGACTTCTTAATCACCTTGGCCACGTGTGTTGCTACTTTTAGGGAACTGTGGACCTGCATGGCCAGATCCATCTGTATATTAATGTTCCCAAGGATTCTGTCATTTACAGTATAATTCACACCTAAATTTGATCCTCCAAACTGAATCACCTTGCATTTGTCTGGATTAAACACCATCTGCCATTTCTGTGCCCAAGTCTCCAACCTATCTATATCCTGTTGTATCCTTTCCACAATCATCGGCACGATCAGCAACTCCACTAATCTTTATGTCACCTGCAAACTTACTAATCAGACCACCCACATTTTCCTCCAGATCATTTATATATACTATAACAACAGAGGACCTAAGACTGATCCCTGTGGAACACCACTAGTTACCAGTCTCCAGTCTGAAAAACACTTTTCCACGGCTACCTTCTGTTGTCTATGATCAAGCCAGTTTTGTATCCATCTAGCCAGCCCACCCTGAATCCCACGTGATTTTAGTTTTTGTACCAATCTTCCATGTGGGACTTCATCAAGTGCCTTACTAAAGTCCATATAAACTACATCCACAGCTCTTCTCTCATCAGTTATCTTTGTCACCTCTTCAAAAAATTCGATCAGGTTGGTGAGACATAACCTTTCCCGTATACACCATGCTGCCTGTCGTTAACTAGTCCATTTTCTTCCAAATATGCATATAACCTGTCCCTCAGTATCTTCTCCAACAGCTTCCCCACCACAGACATCAGGCTCACTGGCCTATAATTTCCTGGATTATTGCTGCTTCCTTTCTTAAGCAAGGGAACAACACTGGCTAATCTCCAGTCCTCTGGAACCTCGCCTGTGTTCAGAGAGGATGTGACGATATCTGCTAGTGCCCCAGTTATTTCTTCCCTTGCCTCACGCAGCAGCCTGGGGTAGATCCCATATGGCCCTGGGGACTTGTCTATCTTAATGCAATTTAGGATACCCAAAACTTCCTCCTTCAATATATTGACATTCTCTAGAGCATTCACATACTCATCCCTGACCTCAACATCAGTCATGTCCTTCTCCTTGGTGAATAATGAAATGAAGTACTCATTAAGGATCTCTCCCACTTCCTGTGGCTCCACACATTACTTCCTTCCATTGTCATTGAGTGAACCTACTCTTTCCCTTGCTACCCACTTTCTTCTAATAAATGCATAATAAGCCTTGGGATTCTCCTTGACCCTGTTTGCTAAAGACATTTGATGGCTTCTTTTAGCCTTCCTAATTCCGGGTTTAAGTTCCTTCCTAATTTCTCTATACTCCTCAAGAGCTTCGCAGTTTGTAGCTGCCTAAACCTATCATATGCTTCCTTTTACCTTTTGACTCAGCTTACAATTTTCCTTGTCATCCATGGTTCCCGAATCCTGCCATTCATATCCTTCAGTTTTGGGGAATATGCATATTCTGTACTAAAGCCCTCCCTTCTCCACTGGCTCTGTAGCCACTTGTTCAACTGTACTCTCTCTCTGTTCCTAGCCTCACTAGCCCATGGCACAGGTAGTAATCCTGAGATTACTACCCTTGTAGTCCTGCTTTTTAGTTCCCTACCTAACTCCCTGAATTGTCCTCACAGGACCTCTTCTTTCTTCCTACCTATGTCATTTGTGCCAATGTGGACAATGACTTCTGTCAGTTTTCCCTCCCGTTTCAGGATGTCCTGTACCTGCTCAGAGACATCCAGGGCCCTGGCACCAGGGAGGCAACACACCGTCTTGGAGTCTTGTTCACGGCCACAGAAACGCCTGTCTGTGCCCCGACTATCGAGTCTACTACAATCACTCGCCTGGACTTTGCCTCACCCTGCTCTACAGCAGAGCCAGTTGTGGTACCACAGGCCTGGCTACTGCCGGTACTATCTCCCGAGAGGCTATCCCCCCAACGGTATCCAAAACGGTAACCCTGTTTCAGAGGGGAATAGCCACAGGAGACTCCTGCACTCTTGCCTCTCCTGGCGGTCACCCTATCTGCCTAGACCTGTGGTGTGACCACTTTCCTAAAGCTAGTGTCTATCACTCTCTCTGTCCCCTGTATGTGGCACAGTGTGTCTAGCTCCTTCTCCAACTGAGCCATGCAGTCTGTGAGGAGCTGTAGCTGGTCACACTTCCTGCAGATGTTATTGTCAGGGACCACTTAGCTGCTCCCTGATTTCCCACAACTGGCAGGAGGAGCATACCGCTGCCCCAACTGCCAACTCCACCCTTTTATACTTTAGAAAAAAGATGCTGTCCTCTTTGCAGTACTTTTTTTTAATTGGAGGAAGTCAGGGAGTAGGGGGGAACACTACACTAATGTAGTGTTTCGGGTCTAACCACCCCTTGACACCAGTTCTTCTGCGATATTCAGTCTAGTTGTGGAGACTGCAGTGCCGTCTCC